CGTACTAAAAATCTTAGTCGTTTGGGATTTTTTAACAGAGACAATACAAATATTTTGCCAAATGGCCCAATGAGTACAAAAAGGTTAAAAATTCGGTTTCCACACCCAATGTTAATTTTTTTATTGCTCACCTGAAACATATAAGAATGTTCAGAATATATTTAGGAAATTTAGTTAAGAACCATTAATTATTTGAATATTACTCAATATGCTCCAAATAATTTATGCCAAACATTGCCGGCTTTAGCAAACTTACACAAACTCCACATTGTAGTGGGTTGCATAGAGTTTCCATTGGAAACGTGTGAAAATGCTAATCCATGGATATTTTTTCTGAGTAGTATCACCCTCCTCAGAACCTTTCTCCGCACCTTTATCTGTTAGATTATGTAGATTTTCATGCGGCACGTCAGTGGCTCATTTGCATGCAATTATTTTGCTCTTCCCCGTTGGAAAAACTTCAACCCTTGGGTGGGCGGATATCGGGATATAGACAAATTGTGACATGTACTTCAGTTTCAGTTACAATATTGATGCCTCTCCGCCTTGTAATTTCTCATTCATCTTCAATGGGCATTTAATCAAGCTGTGAATTCGACTCCCAAACTTCAATGACAAATGCATGCAACCATAAAAAAATGTTGAAAAAAATAATCAAGTTGAAGATAAGGATAGAATAAAAAACAAGAAAGGAAAGCTAACTTCGGGCGGAGCCGAAGTTGATATACCCTTGCAGAATACTCTGTAAATTATATTCTCCAAAATTATTCAAATGATGCATTCTTAATACTCATAAAAAATCCCAACTTCCTAACTTTAACAACACCAAAGTTATGACATTTCCAATCGTTCAGTTATATGGCAGCTATAGGATATAGTCGGCCGATCCTTATGAAATTTGGTAGGTCGGATTGGCTGGCCAAATATAACACCCATAGAAAATGCCAACTTCCTAACTTTACAAACACCAAAGTTATGGCATTTCCGATCAATCAGTTATATGGCAGCTATAGGATTAGTCGGCCGATCCTTATGAAATTCGGCATGTCGGATTGATTAGCCAAATTCAAACCCATAGAAAATCCCAACTTCCTAACTTTACAAACACCAAAGTTATGGCATTTCCGATCGTTCAGTTATATGGCAGCTATAGGATATAGTCGGCCGATCCCGGCCGTTCCGACTTTATACTGCGTGCAAAGGAGGGGTGTGTGCAAAGTTTCAATTCGATATCTTTAAAACTGAGAGACTAGTTCGCGTAGAAACAGACAGACGGACAGACAGACGGACAGACAGACGGACAGACAGACGGACAGACGGACAGACGGACAGACGGACATGGCTATATCAACTCAGGAGGTGATCCTGATCAAGTATATATACTTTATAGGGTCGGAGATGTCTCCTTCACTGCGTTGCACACTTTTGACCAAAATTATAATACCCTCTGCAAGGGTATAAAAATGGTAAATGAAATGAAATTACTGAACAGCAAAATGGGATGGAAAGGGGCGGGAATCGAGGGAAAAAAATGCAAATGGTGAAATTTTAAACCCTTGAATGGGCCCGCCATTGTCTTTGATAGTCGGCGGAAAAGCAGGGAAAGCGGTCCACGGGATGTGGCAATACCAGGAGGATGGGGGTAGCATCCTGGGTTGCCCATTTGCCAACTGGGCTGTAAGTAAGCGCATTTTTCCCGATTTTTTCTGCTTCTGCTGTTGTTGTTTTTGCTCTTCCTTCCGCTCATTTGTCTCTGCATGAAAATGTCCGCGATTTTCTCCTTTCTGTGTGTGTATGTGTAATTTTTTTTGGTTGTGCTTTTAATTGTATTTAGTTACATTAGTAATTATCGATTTTTCCTGGGCTTGGGTTTCTAACTAGGATCGGTGGTTGTGGTACTGTACCTGATGCCAAACGACGGAAAGGGCTTAAGTTCGTTTAGATTGTTTAATGAAATAAGGGGTGAATAGGAAACCTTTTAAGAAGATACATTTTTGTTGGGAGAAAACAATATAGAAAAATGAATTGGGCCCAAAATTATTTAGAAACACATACATAAATAGGGTAAGGTGTAAACCTGAATAAATACACCAATTTATTTATATTAAAGATGTAGCTTCGTAAAATTAGTTTAAACACCAATTTTATTGTTTTAAATAATAGTACATTTTTATTACCGATAACTTACCAATAAATATAATAATTTAAACGGTAAGAGATGTAATAGATATACAAAAATTTCATATTTCATAATTTTATTACACTGCTTTATTCCCTTTTTCCAAGAAGGGGATATTTTCATATCCTGCTATTAATTAACGTCCAGAAAACGTCTTCTTCTTTGCATTTATGGTCGCATTGATGCCCCTCGAAGCTTGTTCATTTATGGTTTAGACAGATTTGGCCTCTTTGATCAAGGTTTTTGCATTTTACCCCCTCCACTCTATGCGATTCTTGTTCACTAACCATTTCATGCCATTTTTTTTGTTTGCTCCACGTGCTTGTTACTCTGGCTGTCAGCCGGTCTCGCTTTTCAATTATGCCTGACCGGTCCTGCTCTCCGTTTTAGCCCAGAGAGCTGAAACGGACCGAACTGAACTAGCCATTGTGCCATTTAAGCTATATATCACTCATACGCAGCATTGGCGCTTTATTTTCATGCACTAATTGCGTTAGAATTTCAATAGGAATAGGAGATATACACCCTTCCTTTCCTGCACTCCTCGTTCTGAACTCTCTCTTTGATTTGACTTTAGCACATGAAGAGTTTTTAATTGGAATTTGCAGTGGGAGATTATCAAAACCAGGCAAGGGGCAGTGATTTTTCTCTGCTCTTCTCCTTTGATTTTTTCCGACTTTTTTTTTTTGGGGTAGCAGCTCTTGGATACATACGTATATATACCTGCCCAATGCCAATTTTTTCTTCAACTTCCTTGCCAAGACTTTGCCACGCAGCCTTTTTTTCCCAGGGTTTGTGTGTATTGCTTTACATAAGACCCGGACGGTCCGGAGAAGTCCAAAGTCCGGGTGTGCCCTCACGGCCATTAGAGCGCTCTGTGCTCTGTCGTTGTCGTAATTAAAAACAAGGAAAATTCTGCACCGAGAAAAAAATGTGCCAAGGAGGCGGATTGTGAGATTGGGTCGCCTTGGGTTCTCGTCGGGCACCTACCTTCCATTCCATCTTCTTTCCGCTTGCCGCAATTTATTTAAATTTTCTGTGCCGAACTCTTTTGCTTCTTCTTAATTTCTTCTGCCCTTTTCTTTTGTACTTGTTGTTTTTAATAAAGTGCGCTGGACATAGCGCTAAAGAAAAAAAAAGGTCCAAGAAAACGCTCAGAAAAAAGTTGCGTAAATTTGTTATGTACTTTTTCTTTTAAATAAATAAGTATGGGGACGAGGAGGAGAGTCTTCTTGGCGTTGATGAGCAGAGCGACCACAGCCCACCCACTCATATATAGCCGAGCAATCATGCATCCTTTCCTGATGGTGCACCCCATCCTCTTGGCCTGTAGTTCCGTTTCCGGCGCCTGCCATTTGCATCTACAGCAGAAAAAAAATTTCTTTCATTTATTCGAAGGATTCTTCATCCTCTACCCCCTCCCCAATCTTGCTGATTTTTTTTTTGCTGTCGAAGAAGAAAAGATTTTTTTCTCTTTTTTAAAACACACAAACTGGACGACGACGGGCGACCCAAGGGGTGGTGTGGCGGGCAGCATTTCTTTGCGGCTTGAGCGAACCGAAAGAACGGGTACACAAATTTCAACCTACTCAATTTTTGCCTTAATTTCTTTTCTGTTTCGCCAGGAGACCTCGGGCCACCGGAGCCATGCCCATGCCATCCCAAATCCTCCCCAGCTCCGCCTCCATCTCCTCCTTTGCAAAGGCGGTAATAAGAATTTTTTCTTCGCTGCCGGAGTGTGCGTGAGCCGTAGTGTTTTTTCCGTATTTTTAATTTAAAATGCGAAGCATGGAAAAAAATATATGTATAAAAATGGTGTGGGAGGAGGGAGCGAGGGGCGAGGGCGGAAGAGGGCTTTTGCGCACTGCTTAAAAGAAAAACTTCTGAAGTAAATATTTGTCTGTCCAATTGCTGCGGCGACTGCCAACTGCAACGGATTGGGTTTGGAAAGGGGGTGGCAGATTGGAGGGTGGCAGTGGGTGAGGAGGACTTGGATGTGGGCGTTGTCGTTGGCATTGGCGATGGCGAAAGTGTTGTTGGACGGGTTGGGCATCGGACACTACTGTGGACACTGGTGACCGACCATGCCAAGACAAGCGACGCCGTAATGACTGTCACAGCGCTCCATGGACAAACACGAGACACCACCTCCGCCTCCATGCCAACATCCCAAAACGAAAAAAAAAACAAAAAATGAACAAATTTCCATCACCTAAGCTCTGTTATGTATTCCCCCGGGCTTCTCTTTGGCGGAGTGGGTGCGGCACTTTGGAACTCTTTCAACTATCCGATATAGGCTATTTTTCAATCAAATCACCGTATTCCATATTCAATGTGTGTAAATTGCCAAGGGAAACGCACTGTGCAGCCTTGAGAGAAATTGGTGAGGTGATGCATACCATTATATCCTTGAAACGGGACAACTAGCCATTGTATCCGATATCGTATGAGTTGTATAAAGCCGCAATTTGAATTGGTTATAAAACCAATCACATAGATTGCGTATTGTTTGGCTAATAAATGCTGAAACTGGTTTAAAGCGTAAACATTCCGCAAGAATATTTAATATTATCGGTTTATTTGGCACTGAAATAAGATCAGTATGGGACTTTCATGTATAAACAAAGATAGAAAAAATTGCACTTTAAATTAACAGAATCTTAAACAATATCCCAATTAAAAAGCTAAGCAGCTGGCCTAAACTTAAATTTATTTAAACAAGAAAACTGTTTATTTGTGAGTTTAAGCCGAAAAGAAAAAGTTCCCAAACAGAATATTAAATAAATGACTAATATCTTTTCCCCTACTTGACTATTTTTAGGGCCTCTTGCGCACCGCCGAGCAGCTAAAGATCAAAGGCCTCTGCGAAACCGCCGAGAACGCGGATGACCTCAACGACGCGGCCACAGCAACAATCACTGTTTCAGAGAACATTCAGCAGGCGGTCGTTGGTAATATTGTGAACGCGACCATAGTTCCCGGAGCTCCGTCGCCCTCCTTGGAACAGCAGCAGCAACACCACCAGCAGCAGCAACAGCAGGCCCAGGAGCAACATCAGCAGCAGCAACAGCAGCAGGTGCATGCCCAGCAGCAACAGCAGCAACAAATCAACGCTGCCCTGCTGACGCAACACGGAGTGCCCAGCGGAAGTGTTTCCCTATCCGGGCAATTGCTTAGCTCCTCGGCCAGCGGTAGCAGCGGAAGCTCAGCCGGCGGACAGCAGGCTCCACAGACGCCATCCGGTTTGCAGCCGACGCCACGCAAGTCTCGACTTAAGCGCTCCAAATCGCCGGACTTGCCAACGGGCGGAGGAGCAGGAAGCTCTGGAGGCTCCAGCAGTTCATCGTCGCAGCAGCAGCAACCCCAGCCGGCGCACCACCACCACCCGCAGACCATTCTTATCCAGGGCCAAAATCCAAATTCTATTGTGAGCCTGCAGCAGACGGCCGACGGCAATTACATACCAGTGCCAGGAACTGGAGACGATTCAGACGTAGAGGATCACGACCACGAGCACGAGCACGGCCACGGACACGGGCACGGAGGACATTCGCACGGACACGGTCACGGCCACGATCACAGTCACGATCACGAGCACGAGAACAAGCCGAATAAGATCTGCAAGACCGAGCAATCGGTGGCCTCGCCGGCGTCTAATTCATCCAGCGCCTCAAACAATGCAGCGGGCGTGAGCGGCGTGACATCCACCGGCCAAGCCATCGTCACACAAATTGTAGTAGCGCGCGACGGAAAAGATACAAAAAATATGACTAGTTTAGGCATGGGCATGGTAAGTTGGTTAGCTAGTTTGGTTTAGTTAGCACACAGCATTCTCTCAGTTAGCCAGAGATCGATCGCAGATCAGATCGATCTTCCCCGGCATAATGAACCCTATTTTGCTAACCTGTCATTCCTATCTCTCTCTCCACCCGAATCTGGATTCCATGCAGAACGGCGGCCTGTTGGGCGTGCCCATGGGATTCCTGGACTTCACACCCGAGCCACCAGCACCATCCGCCACCCCAGTCACCGTCACGGAGCACGTCGATCTGTCCTGCAACCCCAGCACGGACACGCGCGATCTATCAAGTGAGTGATCGGTAGTGTAGCCAGCGGATCTACGCGGTAACACCTAAAGTCTTGGGAAGCCCCAACTAATCTGGTTTAAATTTGCCTCTCAACAGATCCCACCGAACCGCTCGATATAGACAATCATCTGGCCCAGCAGATCCATCGGCTCGATCAGTCCCCCATGCACTCGATATCTCATCACCACACTGGCGATGAGAGCAACTCGAATCTGGTGCAGCACATCAAGAGCGAGGTGATCGAGGCCAAGCACCTGGCAGCTGCCCAGCAGCATGCACTTAGCCAGGCCCAGCAGCAACATGCCCATCACCAAGCCCACCAGCAGCAGCAACACCAACAACAGCAACACCAACAGCATCAGCAACAGCAGCAGCAGCAGCATATCCATGCCCAGCAGATGTTGGCCCAAAGTCAGGCCCAGTTGCAGCAACAACAGCAGCAGCAGCAACACCACCAGCAGCAACAACAGGCTGCAGCAGCTGGTGTGCACGGCCAGCATGGGGGACATGTGACGCACGCCGACATCAGTGGTGCCACAGTCATGGAGATTGATCCGAGCCAGATTAAACACGAGCCGGGCATGATAATAACGCCAGAGATTGTCAACATGATGTCCTCAGGGCATATGGGTGAGTTGTGCGTCAGAAAATTGAATTGCTGGAATGTAAGAGTACATTGCAGACTGTTTAAATTCCTTTATCCCAAATGCTTTTCTATAGGACCAACCGAATTCCAATTTCGGTGGGAAATTAAAGAATACCATTTAAAAAATAATAAAATAACTTTGGCTATTGGCCAAATAAAGTAAAATAAATAATACATTTTGGAAGTAAAACAAAAATGAATACTCCAAAGAATAGTCAAAATAAGTTTAAAAATAATTTTTTAATTTTTTTATTAAATGAAGATATAAATACTGTAAAATATGTTGTTATCCATTTTATTATTTGAGCCATCAAACAATTGAAGCATACTGTGAATCGAATCTTGTATTTCTCTATTTCCTTTCCATAAAAGCCCTTATAAAACTGGCATCTCTTATTACCAAAAAACAAATTTTATACTAATGCTTATGTATTTCTTATTTTCAGACATGTACAATTCGGACACGAGCGAGGATTCGATGATGATCGCCAACGGCTCGCCGCATGATCAGAAGGAGCCACACTATACGAATTTGGACCAGCAACACGGGCTGGGTGGCAGCGTTTGCGGCCCGGGGCCCGGCGGTGCTGGTGGTGGTGGGGGCATGAGTGGTGGGGCTGGCTCTGGCTCTGGCGAGAAAGGTCAGTTTAATGGTCCCAAAGCTTGGACACAAGATGATATGAATTCAGCTTTAGATGCATTAAAGAACCAAAACATGAGCCTGACGAAAGCGTCCGCCATTTATGGCATCCCATCGACCACCCTGTGGCAACGTGCTCATCGCCTGGGCATCGAAACGCCCAAGAAGGAGGGCGGCACCAAGTCGTGGAACGAGGATGCCCTGCAGAATGCCTTGGAGGCGCTGCGTTCGGGTCAGATATCCGCGAACAAAGCGTCGAAGGCTTTCGGCATCCCCTCCTCGACGCTCTACAAGATTGCCCGGCGCGAGGGCATCCGCCTTGCGGCGCCCTTCAATGCCGCCCCAACCACGTGGACGCCCGAGGATCTGGAGCGAGCCTTGGAGGCGATACGGGCGGGTAATACATCAGTGCAGAAAGCCAGCGCTGAGTTTGGCATACCCACAGGTGAGTTGTCTGCGAATCCAGTCCGTAGTTCGAATTATGGTGTCCTCTATTTCTTCGACGACGCCTTGTCTTAAAAAATCCACTTCGTAGTTGGTGTTTTTAGCATTGTCCCAGTGGATGAAGAAGTAGAAAAAGTGCTAGAATTAAGTTATCTCATATACGGATTGCCTCTTAAAGCCAATCTGAAAAAGTGATTTTCAAATTGGCCATTGTGCCGTAATAAAAAAAGAGAAGAAAAACCTAGAAAAAGAAAAGCTCTCATGCACTTGATTTTGACCACTTTCCCTCGTCCGCCTTTGATCTGATTTTGCTGTGACTAATCCCCCTCTTCCACTCCATCAACCGCCTCAAAGGAACACTTTACGGACGCTGCAAACGGGAGGGCATTGAGCTGTCGCGTTCGAATCCAACGCCCTGGTCCGAGGATGCCATGAACGAGGCCCTGAACTCAGTGCGGTGAGTGCGTGCGAACTACTGGCGTCAATTAAGTCGCTAATCACCATTTCCGACACATATCTCCCACAGCGTTGGCCAAATGTCCATCAACCAGGCGGCCATTCACTATAACCTGCCCTACAGCTCGCTCTACGGCCGCTTCAAGCGCGGGAAATACGACGTGGTGGCCAACACGAGTGGCGTGGCGCTCCTCAACACCTCGGGCAACACCACCGGCAGCATTGAGATTATCGAGCACAGTCAGGAGAATTCGGTACGTAGCCACGGCAGCAAAAAGCTAAAAGCAAATGCAAACCCAGTTCACAAACTCTAAAACCAAAGTCTTTAAAAAACGCATCCAATTCAAGAATTATTTTTTCAAACATATAAATTATTTGTTTTTAATAGCCTGAAACCATTTCATGAGTGCATTTTTTGAGGAATGCGGCTATAATTCGTTCAGTTGAATTCCGACACCAAAATGCATCTATTAAATTAATTCCACTTATTTATTATTTATTTAATCAGTTAGGACATGAATTTTAAGTACAATTTTCTATTAATTAATGAAATGTGGTTCAACGAATTCTCAGAACAATGCAGATAAACCATTAAATTAAGTTTATTGTCTCATTTAAATCTTTTTTCATTTACAACCGCTTACACAAACACTACACATAAATGCCAGCTTTGACTAACCTATATAATCAATTTATTTATGCAAAGTTGCATATGTTACAGCAACAGTTCCCGTACAGCCCCTCGCCGCATCCGCCAACTCCGCAGCACCACAGTACGCCACAGCACCACAGTACGCCGCAAGGTCCTCCGACGACGCAACACATGCAACAGCACGTGGTGCACATGCAACAGCAGCAGCAGCAGCAACAGCAGCAGCAGTCGCCCCACCCGGGTCACCATCCGCAGCACATGCAGCAGGATGTGGTTACATCGAGCAGTCAGGTGGTGCACAGCCAGCAACAGCAGCAGCTTCAGCAGATCTATCAGCACCACGGGACGCCGGAGCGTAGTTGAGAATCACTGCATGCTGCGGCAATAATGGGCAGCACCGGTGGTGGGGGAGCAGGAGGAGCCAGTACTAGTGGCAGCACGGCGGCTAGTAGCACACCCTTTGCCAGCATATCGGCGCTGGTCAGCGGACCGAACAGTGCCCCACCACCACCAGTGGCTCCCAGTGGCTCGTCGGCAGTCAGTGGCGGCACCAGCAAGCGCAAGAAAGCCAACAAGCAAAAGCGTTGAGAGCAGGAGGATCAGCCACATGGGTTGGAAACCATCGCCGGAGTGGCCAGACCCGAGGACATCAAGTTTAGATTTAATTGCAAGCACTGGAAGCGCAAGCTTCGGCAGTTTCATTTGCTATTGTCCAAACAGTAGTCAATCAGTCAGTTAGGAAGATATATGAATGACCCACAGACAAATATTCCCAAGGGTAGGGCAAACCAATCACAAAAACACTTTTGAACTAGATGGACATTAATTACACAATCGAGATGTGTATAAAATGTAAATACATAACGAAATATGCTTTATCTACATTATACGGAAAATAGTTATATAGATATTAGGTTTGCAAAAGTCCTTTGTTCTAGACAAGTAAGTTGGAGAAGAGAGAGAGATATACACATACCTAGATTGTAAGAAAAAAATGAATTTTAGATTTGCCTAGACTCGAAAGATAATGAATTCGTTTTGGGCTCGCAGTTTTAAGAGCACTTTGTTATTAATGGACATGGACACGGGTATATATTTTGGGCTCGTGACCATTCTGAAAACCTTGAACTAGGACCTAATAGTGGAAACCCTATTCTAGATTCCGTTTGCCCCTTCTGCGTTTTGTTATAATTTTCGCTTAGTGTGAGACTGAAAGTGCCCCTAAAACTGTAGAAACCCAAGCCCAAAACTATAGTGAAAACGCATACAACACAACCCATACATGAATCAAATGCTTTATAACCATATTGTTTGAACGAAAAGAACGAAGGGGAGAATACCTTAATGTAGAATTAAACCAAATTATCAAGGTCCTAGAAATTAAACTCATTAGCTTGTAATGACAACCGCAAACAGATCAGATAAGAAAGAAAAACAAGAGTTATTTGAATTTAAGTGGTGGCGCCCTGAATCAACCAATATTGATTTGATTTCAACTGAATTAAGAATATAGCCAATACATAATTTTAGAAATGAAGTAATTGCAAGGAAACAACACATGGAATGTATTTTTGATAAAAGCAGAAACTAAAGCAGCCGGAATAAGCAAATCGAACTGCAAATGTTGTTAATGTTAAGCTCTAAATATTGTCTTTTCAAAATCACATTCAAAGCAAAGATTTGAAGCAAGCATGTAAGAGAAATCAACCAATAAATACGCACGTATATATATGGATGCAAAACACCTCTAAGTGAACTGTAAAATTGTTTAGTGTAGCAGCGAACGAAAGTTGTTATAATAAACCTTTTTTCTTTAAAGAACACTTTATTCAAGCAGCTTTATGTTGCCCCAGGAAATGTCGTAGATCTAATAGTATCTATATCAAAAATCGGAAATGAAATCTACAAGGAGAAAAACTATATTCAAAATTTTGAAATTAGACGTTAATAAGGAAAAATGTATAATAGCTTCCACTAGCGTATCTACATATTTAGGAAACGAGAAATTTATACTTTAAACACCCATCTGAAGTAACTTCAACTATTTTTGGTTTCATCTCAACTATACGTGTGCGGAGAACACTTTGAAATCTTTGTAAATACATTTGAATAATTTCTTTAGTTGTTAGTTGTGTTAGGGGAACAGGTATCTGAAAATTACAAAAATCAAATGTTGCAAATTAATTTATTTTAGCGTTATAGACCCGTAGAACTGAATGCAATATGCTTACCTTAAACTCAACATAATTTAATTCTATTCCTATTATCTTTAGTTGGATTCATTTTAATGTTTTATAGCAAAACTGTATATCATTGTAAATTAATTAAAGCATACGAAGTAGCATCTACAAGAGTTAAATCAACAATAAAACAAAAAATATCATTATAACCTTGTTAAAATTGTCGCAAGAGCAATTAAAAAATGAACCCAGCAACTTGAAGAAGAATCGAAAATGAAGGCGAATCACACGTAAAAATAATAAAATATTACATTTAAAATTTTAAGCTAACTAAATGTGTAAGAGTAACCTTTAACCACACAATATTATAGCACATTTTGGATTATCAAATATGCATATACAGCAAATATCTATTATAAACGGTAAATGTAAACCCAAAAAGAAACACTGAAACAATCTATGTAACAGCCGAAATAGCGAAAACCCATGTAATAAACAAACAACATTTAATGTAATATTGGTATAACGTAATTTTTAAAGTGAGGTACTATAAATAAAAATTATTAAATAATATTAAATACTTTTCATTTCATCCGAAATGTTCTGCGTTGTTTTAAATAGTTTGGCTAAGGGTTATTCAATTAAACGTTCAATCCAATCAAAATTGAATTTCAACAGGTTTCCAAACCCCACTGAAAAAAGGATTTTATACTTAAAGGGTTGTTTTTATTTTTAAATTATTTTATAAAAAATTATAATTTGATTTTCCTAATAATTAATTTAAACAAGGAAAAATTCTATAGACTATAAGATATCCGTTACTGAGCTAACCAATTTAAAAATAAATCAATTTTAGAAGCGCCAGCTGCAGAACTGCAGTTCAAACACCACAGGCTGAGAGTGAGCAGCTAGTGCTAGTTTGACATATTCCTCCCAATACCTGACATCAACGCGGTTTCTAAAGTGTTTGTTGGTTTATGGGCGTTAGAGTGGGCGTACGAAAACCTAGAATCTTCATCTTAATCGACTCGGCTATTGATCCTAATCAAGAATATATTAAACGTATAAGGTCGAAAACGTTTCTCCCTACATGTTACTTAGTTTTCAAAGAATAGAATATACCCTTTTACTTTACGAATAACGGGTATAAAAATGATAACTTAGTTGTTTTATAACATGTACGGATATACTCCTAAAATTCATTTACATTTCATATAGCTGCCATGGGAATGATCTTGATTTATGTATTGCCTTGAAACCAACAAACAACATAATTAAAATTTGTTATCTCTACTTGTTTAGGATTTTTTTTAAACATTTTTTTTGAATTTGATTAAAATGTCTTTGGCGCTCATGACTTAAACTTAGTTTATCCAAGCGATAAAGCTCTACCTCTGTAAACCTGATCTTGGCTCAAGGGTATTGTTTTGGCCAGTAATGTTAACGGAGCTTTTCTGTTAGGACGATACTTATTAGTAATTCTCCGCTCAGCTGGCGCATGCTCTCCCACATGTTGGGCTTATTTTTTTGACTGTGCTCACCTAGAAGCGGATGATGCCAGTCAAAGTTCTGCTTCCCATGTGAACGGTGGTGTTTGGTGTTTTTCGCGTTTCCAATCGTCTGCGCCGCTTCCTTTCGCAACGCAGAAGATTTTTTACCAAGAAAAGAAAAAATTTGCAGACCCAGCACTTTTCTCTAACTTCAAGTAAAAGAAGACAAAGGAATTGCTTACTTTTGGAAAGTATTTTGTAAGTCTTGCTCATCAAATAAACAAAGCAATCGTGTTGAATGGGAAATCCTCCTTATCAGTGTCTCTTAAGCTAATTGATTAATCAGCGTTTAATCTGTTTATATTTGATTTAAATCATCTCAATTGAAAGTTATGAGTTTATTAAGTGAAAGTGATATGATGTGCGTTCTAATTGAGTGTGAAATTGGCAAATTTAACTTATCCCTCGCAAAAAATGGTTGTACATTTTAATATAGCGGAAATGTCAATTGAAAAAATCACAAGATTGCAAAATTTTTATGTAAAACGAGAGTGTGTGTTGAATTAATAATGATGGATAGAAAAGTTGTCAGGGGAAAGATGGTAAATCGAAATCGGGCTAACGAAAGCACAGCCCAAAAGTTAACTGCATAAACAGTTTATTTTTATATGCCAGAGGACAGCTGCAAGTTCAAGTGTACAAAACTCGTAACCCCCATAAAATTACATTACGCATGATACACACAAACACACATATATATAAATATGTATATTAATATAGGTACATGGGGAGTATGACGTGGTGTGCGAAAGCCCCGTCGCTCAACACGTTCTAAAATATTAACTTTAAAGACAACAGCAAAAATAAGAAAAATACGCAACAATAATAACAGCCACCAAACAACGTGGTTATTAAGAGAGTCCAGAGAGAAATTATAAATATTATGGAGAGAACGGGCAAAAAGCAGCCCCCACAAAAAAGCTTCCTCTCTCAAGAGAAACTCTCTGCCAAACACAGCTGATTGCAAGAATCATAACGGTGTATGGGTGGTTTTGGCCTCAAATACCTCTACATAACCCCCTCAAACCCCCCTTTTGTTTTTACAACAAGTGCCGCTCTTGGCGAAAAAGTGTTTGCTGATGTTTGCCATGTTTTTGGCCATTTGAACTTGGCACCAGAAAAGTGGGTCTAGGGTATCCACAAGGAGTGTGACCGCATTTCGTCGTCTTCTCTAGCTTGCTTGACCTTGAAGTCTTCCGAATTTATTTCAATTCAAAAATAAACAAGCTAAAATGAAATGTGTCATTTCAAAACTTCCTCTTTGACGTGTTGTTTTGATCAAGTGTTTACTTATTGAATACTTAACAACAAATTTGGAGGTGATACTTCAAGTTTTTATTTGGACTTTAACAGTTGCGGCATGACAAGGGTCGGAAGAATGGAATTTAATTTTTACACTGATAGTGTTTTAAGGCTCTTTAATTTCATTTATTATTTACTTGTTAAGTTTATTATTTTTGTATTTAAAAATGTATTAATAAATATTATATACAATTTTTGACCCAATTGTCAGTTATTGATTAAGTGATTGTTGTATGACCTTGAAATTAGGAAAAATATAATTTATTTTATATTTAAGTTGCTTTTTTATTTATTTTTTGATTCTTGTTCGAAGCTGCTATTTAAAATTTAACAACTTAAAAACATTATTGCCGTTAGCTTTAATTGATGGCTTATGAATTATAAATGTGGCATTAGTGATTCCTTTAGTTTCCCTTTTATAAGTCTTTAAATGTTTTTTTAAGCACTTGAAGTTATTTTGAACAATTGTCCCCCAATTAAAGACTTTAAATGGCTAAAAAAAAAGTTGGACAGTTTTGAATAGCAGGCCTAAATATTTCAAGACCTTGACTAAAATAAAATGAGAAATGAAAATAATCCACAAGTGGGATCGAATATTTGACTTTAAAATTTCAGTCGGCGGTTGAAGTACAACCATAGCCATAGGTGAGCTCCAATTGTATGTGGTATATTTAAAAGGCGGTTCAAGTCAAGTGAAGGTGCGTGTGTGGATGCCATACTTTGTTTGCTGTTTTCAAGAAGAACCCCGAACTGTGGGTTGTGTTGTAAAATAGACCATCAATGTCGTTTACAGCTTTTAGCGCCAAAGTAGTGGAAGATAATAAAACCGTGCAAGGGAAGTGCTTAGTACAGTCAGACTTCAAAAGCATGACACACTTTTAGAGCAGAGAAAACTTGCTTTGGACTTCTTAAAATGTATAATTGTTTAGCGAAAATAAACTTATTGTTGTATTTATTTTATAAAGTTTGTATTATTTTGTTCTTCTTTTTATTATCAATCAATGCAAGGCTTTCGAAAATAATATTTTTGAAACTGGAAAATCCTTATTAAAAATTACGGTTTGTAACATACATTTTGCTTTAAGGAAATGAGGTTTTATGGTTAGAAATAATTATTGCTTATGTTGTGGCTGTAAAAGTAGTTTTTGTATACAGCTTTTTAAAAAGTTCGACTAAGGCAATTTCGCCTACATATCCTTTTTCCTTAATTATTCAGTAAGTTTCTTTACTTTTCCAGTTTGCTTGCATTCCACATCGAACCTCCCAAAAAGCTGTTGCTGGGGCAACCTCCACTGAACACCGGAAAAAGAAAAGGGTCAAAAGAGGAAGACTCACAGAGCCTTGCACGCAAGTGAGTAAACAACTGGCCTCAACTGGCAGTCGTTAGGTGAAATTATCAATTATGCAATTAAAAAGGGGGTGGCAATTGTGGCAGCTGAGTATCTCAGGTGAGAGTTGTTCAAACTTTCGCCCACTGCGCTTATTGATCTAAATTAAATGCCAAGGTTGGAATAGTATTAAAATAGTTGGAAAGTGCGTTTAAAAAGCTAACTTTGATTCGCACGAAAAACCCTTGAACTAAATTTAATAGTTCTAAAAGTGGATTTATAAAGCTAACATTGCCTCGTGTAACCATATGTGATCCCTTTGAAATAACGTGGATATGCCCTTAATAATTTATTCCGGAGTTGCTGTTTGTGTTTCCGTTTTTCTCATTACACTTTTCATTTCCGTTTCCCGCAGCCAAAATGAAAATGTTACAGGGCATACGTACAGGGCGCATACGTAATATGCTAATCAACTTTTGTTGCCAACAAGCTGGCGATAAACCAAGTACAAGCCACAACCTTTTGGGCCCAACTGTTGCAAAAGTAACTTTTCGTGTGTGTTAATGTGCTTGTGGATAACTGGGCATGTCCTTAGGTTGTCGAAAGTCAAGCCCGGCAAAAGGCTGCTCACTTCACAGCCGAGTATCGACCCTCGTTTGGATCAGCCTTCAGCCAATTGACCCCTAACCCTTGCTCAGAGTGTCTCTCACAAGCCTGAACTTACCTTGCCAAAGAGTCAAGGACGTCAAAAACACTCACACTCATACGAATTGCATGCCTGATTTCACCAATTGATTGCATGCAATTGTTTTCCCTTCTACTTTCACTTGTCTGCTCATCCCGACCCAAATCCTCGGAATGAAAAAGGGGGGCGAGTGGCAATATTAAGTACGTGAAAATCCTTTAGAATTATTCAGGAGCCATTCCGTCTGGTTGGCCTAAAAGGGCAGGCCCTTCACGAAATTATATCCATTTCAGATCCCACTTCAACTGTTGCACATTCGTAAATCAGAGCTGTCATGTCCAAATGCATATTTCATGTTGGTCTGATTTCATATTTGAAATGTATACCCTTTCAGAAAGTATTTTATTTTAAAGGTCGAATCAGATGAGAGTTTAGACATTAAACTTTTACAATTTTAACTTAATTACTCAATATAAAACAGGTCAATAATCCTATTTTATATTTATATTTCCTACACAAACTTTAAAGTTCCATCTTTAATATCATTAACAATGTACAAAATTATTGTTATATATACCAGATCACAAAAAGTAATGAAGGACCCACACCGCCTACCTTATTACCAATTTATGAGATGCTGATATAAAAGAACCCAATAAAATAAACAACATTTTGTGAGGGTGTTTGCAACTCCACTTCCCGAAGTTCGGCCAAATATTTATGATTTTTGTTTGGTCTGCGCAAATACCGAAATGAGATTTTGCGGTTGCCACTTTGTATTCCGATGAATGTTTCTGAATTTTTCTGCATGAACGCTTGATGAGCATATTTAATGCAATTTGAAATGTGGTTCTGGGTAAACAGCACTTAGCTAAAACATAAAATTAATTATGTTTGGGTCAGATGATTCAATTAGAGCAAAACTTTAGCTAACAAAACATTGACATTGACATAGGCGTTTTCATGCCTAAAATGGGAAAATAAACTGTGTTCGAAATTTAATTCTGTGAGAATTAATTAAGCCAATAAACAAAACAAAGTGCGGTCAGTAGACTGATTGACTTTAATTGTTTGGTGGTCAAATTAAGCCGTTTAAAGCTGGACTCATATGCAGGCCACGTATAACGCCAATGGAGGCCATTGCAAATGGAACTCTTGCACATTTCCTGCCCGAGTGCAATTCATTTCCTATGTCCTGCTAGATTCCGTAGCTTAACTTTTGCCGTCAGCTTAATGTACAACCTGAAGATGTTCTCAGGCTTTCAAACACATTTGACCTTGTTTCGCTCAGCCAACGGTGCGTATGAGTGTTGTCTAGATGACTTCGTTGATTTGCTTGTTGCTTTCATTATCAATGTCAATGTGCCCCAATGAGCTCTCTAGAAACTCAGTGAGAAATCTTTGAGATACTTTTCCACTCAATCTTACTCTCAATATCGCTGATTGCATTGGTCTTACCCTGAGTTAATGGGGCATTTCGCAGACGGAACAAGAGCAAATAATGAAAGAACCCCATCTGTAGGTCATGAGCAAATCACTTTGTTGCCATGAGCAAATCCCACTTTGTTGCGATGAGCAAATAACGCAAAATTGATTTCCTTCTGTGCTTTATTTACTTTCGTTTTGATGCCTTCACTTCTCGCCACCTTTCTGTGCATTTTTATGCTCTCAACCTTATCATTGTTTGTATATTTTTATATTTTTGCATCACAGAAAATTCATTTGCACTCGCATTTGTGTTTTGCAGTTCGAGTGGCGCAGGTCTCGCGTTGTTTTTATTTTTAGCGCGAAATTACGAAATTTTCTCACTTTTTGATTGTGTTATTAATTAGTTATTGAAAATGCGCCTAAGTCGAATGCGATGCTTCCCAGGCGTTTTGTAAGTTCTTTAAAGGCTATATTTTCTCGATCTGATATCTCTGCTAATTGATTGCCTTGTTCTCTCTCTTTACTGAGACTTAAGTAAAAAATTTTAAGCTGAATAAATAAAAAAATGTTTCTTTTACGCAGAACTTTTTGAAATCGATTGTAAGTAGTTACCAGAGCTTTGCATAAAATAATTGTTAAAAACAATAAAACTTGCATACGTTTTGGATAAAACAAATTAACTTATGTCACTTATCCTTTTCCAATACTGCTTTTATATATTAAATTAATACAATAAATGTTTAACAGCCTTTAATATATTATCGGTGTATACAGCTATAACCAGTTATTTATTTTTATACCCTTGAAGAGGGTATTATAATTTGGGCTAGCAATTTGTAATTACAGCATTACTATCGATTATCGATTACCGTCGATCCTTCTGTCTGACTATATTCCATAGCTGTCATATATCTGCCATACTGACCGTATAGTTTTATGCAGTTTATTCGCGCAGTGCCCGCCGTCATAAATTTTCGGTATGTTTGCAAGGGTATTAAAACTTCCATTTGCCGAATCTAGATTCTGTTCTGGTTTTTAAGTATCACCGCTGATAATATTTATTAGCTGAGCAATCAGATCCTGAAAACGAGCTATTTAACTTACCTCTCGAGTCGTGTCTATCACCAATCTCTTGTGTGCCATTTCCATTTCGATCTTTCCCAATCCAAGCAGCGTCTGTAGGATGAGCAATGCGGGAATCGACGGAGGAGGAGGAGGAGGAGGAGGCGGCGGAGGATCAGGATCAGGATCGACAGCAGTGCCACCCACAACGCCACCACCCACTGGCCATGGATCCACTCGTCGCCTGAGCCACTTGACTGGCAGTAGCCGTTCGGGAGGAGCCGCCGCCATGGGCAATGTGGTGGGCTGGCTGAAGCAGGTTCTGTCCACACCCAAACCCAAAATGTGATCCGTATTGATGTGAACCACCCAGCACAACACAGTGTATTACACCCAAAACAAACAAACCTGCACTCCCTTTGCTTTTGTGTTGCATCCCCCCGCCTGATTCTTCAGTTGCCCCTGATGTCCTTCGATGTGATTTGGGATTCCGTAAAACCAAATACTGATTTGCGAATTCTTTTGCAATCTTTTTCAGGCTTCCATTGAAGTGCGCGACGCCGGCACACGAACTTTGTCGATGCTGCAGAGCAGCAATCCCAACTTTCGATCGTTGGACCTATCTCTGGGCACGCCCACACCCACTACTCCCACCTCGAGCGAAGTTCCAGTTGCTCCGGCCAGTGCCACCGCCTCGTTGAGTGGTTCCACATTACAATTCGGACCGGAGGACCCTGACGAAGCAGCCGCAGTCGGAGGAAGTCAGTCGCTGACGCCACTGGATGCCAGGGAACTCTTGACGAGACCCACACGCGCCTACGCCTCCGTCAGCCAGCCCCAGAGTCCTAGACATCGAGGCTCCGGATCGGGTTCCGTTTCCGGATCGCGAATAATCACACACGGCTTGACCGGACGATCCACATCGATTTCCTCGCAGCTGGAGAAGACCAAGAAGCTGCTGAAAATGACCGAGGGCGAGGATAAGCCGCTGACCATTCTGCACTACAACGATGTCTACAACATTGAGTCCATGGCGGAAACGGAGCCGGTGGGCGGAGCAGCCCGATTTGCCACGGCCATCAAGAGTTTTGCACATCTGAATCCCCTCGTGCTCTTCAGTGGCGATGCCTTCTCACCCAGCATGTGTGAGTATTAAGGGTAAATGGATTCAAAATGATTTTATTTACTCAAAAAATATTTTTAATTACAGTGAGCACCTTTACCCAAGGCGAACAAATGATTCCCGTGCTCAATACGGTGGGCACCCACTGTGCCGTCTTTGGTAACCATGATTTTGGTGAGTGACTTGCTAGGTTACACCATAATGGATTTAACTACCTCATTATCCTCTTAGATCACGGTCTGGATGTGCTGGTGAATCTGATCAAGCAGACAGACTTCCCTTGGCTCATGTCCAATGTGGTTGACAACGAAACAGGTCGTCCTTTAGGCGGTGGCAAGATATCGCACTTCATTCTCCACAATCAGATCTCCATTGGATTGATAGGCCTGGTGGAGCGGGAGTGGCTTGAGACCCTGCCGACCATCGATCCCAATGAGGTGACCTACATCGACTACGTGGAGGCTGGAAATAAGCTTGCGCGCGAGCTGAGAAACGAGGGTTGTGACCTCATCATTGCCCTGACCCACATGCGAACCCCCAACGACATTAATCTGGCCGAGAAGTGCGACGGCATCGACATTATCCTTGGCGGTCATGACCACGTTCGCGAGGTGACCGAAATCAATGGGAAGATGATTGTCAAATCGGGCACGGACTTCCAGCAGTTTTCGGTAATCACCATCGATCGGGATGCCGCCAATCGGGAGCACTTCACCACCGACGTCAAGTGCTTCGATGTGACGGCCAAGATTCCGGAGGATCCGGAGCTGAAGCAGGAGCTCTCCAAATATTCCAGTAAGTGCGGAAAGCAACAAATTGAATTCTCTTAATTCTTAAACCTTTGGGTAGGGTCCCATAGAAACCTCTAGAGATTTTAAACCTCTTAAAGGGTGTCTAGAGTTATTTGATTTCAACTTACTAACTCCGTAATGCTTTTCTTACAGAGTTCATCGAGAGCAAGTTGTCCGACGTGATGGGAGTATTCAGCGTGGAGCTGGACGGTCGCTTCTCACGGGTGCGAACCCAGGAAACGAATCTGGGCAACTGGGTGTGCGACGTGGTGCTGGCCGCCGTTGGAGCCGATGTGGTCATCTTAAATGGAGGCACCTTCCGCTCGGATCGTGTTCATCCGGTGGGCGCCTTCACCATGGGTGACCTGGTTAATGTCATCCCCATGCGGGATCCCCTGATCCTGCTCGAGGTCAAAGGTCAAGTGCTGTGGAAGGCGCTGGAGAACGGCGTGTCAGCCTATCCAAAGCTGGAGGGTCGCTTTCCCCAAGTGGCTGGCATCAGCTTTGCCTTCAATCCGCAGGCGGAGCCCGGCAAGCGTATTGATCCGCAACTTATCCAGGTGGGCGACGAATACCTCAACCTGGAGCAGAAGTACAAGCTGTGCGTCAAGAGCTACATCTTCATGGGATGCGATGGCTATACCATGTTCAAGGATGCCACTGTTCTGGTGAGTCAGGACTTTCCGTTTATTAAGATATCTCGACGTTCATACAGAAAGATAGACGGGGAAAGCTAGATTTATTTGGCTAGTGATCCTGGTCAAGAATGTATGACCTTCATAGGGTAATAAACGGTCTATATTTTTCTGTATGTCTATATTTTTCAACAAATACAATATATAAGCATATATAAGCCTCATCTTCAAGGTAGTCAAGATATTATTAATGATTTTATACTGATAAACCCAAATATCTCTTTCAGATGGATGACGATGCCTGTCCCGAGTTGGGAATTACACTACAGAATCACTTCAAAGCGATTAACTCGCGAAAGTGTGGTCAAAACACAAAGCACCGGCAGTCGCTGGTCACACTTTCCCGAAGGCATAGCCTGGTGCAGTGCCTCGACAGCATGGATCTGGATGGACCCTCACCTATCCGTAAACTATCCGTGGGTCATCACAACAAGTCGATGGACCTGACGCATGGAAATTCCCAGAAGGTGAGCAGAACTACTTGGAGATTAGTTCCAAATTTTAATGGTTATTCCTTTTTAGATGCTGCGACGTGCCTCCTTGGATGACCTGGAGCAGTCCACCTGCGACTTGGCGCCACAACTGGAGCACCGCATTGTTATGATACAAAACGAAGAGGTTGGTGACTTGATATGATTAATCGAGCTGGTACTAATATTCATTTATCAATAGCATCAACGACAGCTTCTGTTTAAAAAGGAAACGCACATCATGAACTCCACGATCACCGAGGCTGAGGACGAGTAAAGAATTTCCGAAAGTCATTTATTCAGTTTGCATTTAATTTTTGTATTTTTGTTTCTTTTTCGTTTTTCTAGTTACAAGAAAATAAGACAACTTGAGTTAGGGGCAGGTTCCGATATGGAGAGAAATATTTGAGTAGCAATTAGGCAATGCAAAGAGAAGATATACCCGTTAGCTAGTTAGTTAGTTGGCAGGTCTTTGGGATCGTGCCCTATATTTATTACTGTTTATTGTTACCGCTCTTCTGTTTTTTTGGCTAAGTTACGTTGTGAACGTTTGTAAGACTTCCCCAGATATGTATGAACTTGATATTGATATTGTATATGATGTATGTGTATGTAGTGAGTACGTGTACCTAAAGCTTACCACTAGTTTAATTTACTTTTAATTAGATAAACTGATTTACACAACCAACTGATTATTATATTGTAATTACTGAGCAGCTCTTATGTTTTGTGATCTAGATAAAAAGAGTTTGAGCCGAGCTTTGAGATTCCCTAGATATTCCAAAATAGTTGTTTAAAAAAACCAAGTCCACAAAACGCAATCAAACACTATAGGTTGTATGCAAAACACTGGACGACGACGAGGAGCACTAGCAAACTCAAGAGGCAAGCAGATGTAAAGTGAATGTAAAGCAATATTTTAGACAAGGCACCTAAATTTTGAATTTCAAAATAGGACATATATATTTTTATGGACACTTTTGAAGCGCTTGAACACAGCAGAACATATTATTTTTAGAGTACTCAAACCGTGCAACACTCATGGATTAATGCTTTAATCTTAAATAGTTCCTTGAACTTGCACACCACCAACACGAGATGCAACAAAAGCCGGAGTGTATTTTTGTCCATAGGAGAGCAATCTGATTGCGAATAACTGACGACCAACCGGAAATCAGAACAAAAGCGAATACAAAGGCAGCAGCTACCCACTCAATTACACAAAGTTAAACAATAAGTAGAGGAAGGCACATATATGTACTCCATGCTTAACTGATTGTCCATGCTTAGAACGTACAGTTAACTAAAGTGAACAATATGCAGGCTCAAAATGCACCTGATTATTAAAATTATAAAGGACCCATATATATAGATATCGTACATCTTTCGACCTTCTTCCACGCCCTGCAGCGGGTCATCCTTCTACACTTTTAAACTATTTTGGCAATGGGCCATTAGCCCGTAGAATAACGCATTTTGTGTATATTGAACGAAGTAAATTGATTTATGTAAACATTTATTAAATACATAAACTATATGTAAAGGGGATTTTTAAATTAATTTGGCGGAAGCACGTTTGTTAGTCAGCAGGGCACTAAAGTGGTTGGTTAATACTTTAAAAAAAGGTGAGTTAAACTTCTAGGTTGCTTGTATTGGCCGCCTCAATAGAACTGCAACACCAAGGTCTTTATGGCACTGGCAATGTGGAAGGCGCAGTCGCGCACCTCCAAGGTGTTTTTCTGTATGGCCTGCTTGTCGTCCGCCTCGATGGCCTTCTGCAGATTCTCGCACTCGTGCTGGATGAGAATGTTCTGGCGGGTCAGCAGTTTAAGGGTCTCGCGCGTCGGGTCACTAGCATTCGGTGGCTAAAATTAATATTCATATTTATAAGCTATAATGCCAGGGAAATCTATACCCTTCTAGTTGATTAGGTTTCGCAAAAATATATAATTCAAACATTTTTAATGTTTAAATTATTAAAACGACTCTTTTAAAAAAGAAACAAATGTAAAAAGCTAAGTGTCTCGCCTTAACACAAGAGTTTTTGAGTCAATTAGAAAAGATTTCTGCGAAAATCAGAATTATGATCTTACCAAATTAGCATAAAGAGCAATTAAGTCAGTCACGGCACTGCGAATAAGCTCTCCATGTGGGGCAATCGACTGCTTCTGATCCTCCGGCACTGGCTGCATGGCACGGATGAGCTCTTTTAGACAGCGAGTGACTAAATCCGAGCGTACCTTTACCTCTTCCCCAAAAGGCTTGCCATCGCCAGCCATTTGGTACATGCTGGTCGTATTCCGAATATCCGTCTGACCCTTGGCCACGTTGGGAACCAGACGACGCTCGTACATGCTGGCCGGACGCTTGATGGTCGACTGGTTCGAGGAGTCATTGGAGGAGCCGCTGTCCACATTGGCAGTCCCACCCTCAGGCAGCGAAAGTGGTTCGTGCTCCGTATCTGGACTGCTTAGGCTCAGATCAATGCGACTAATTATAGATAAATCAAAACCAAATCATAAAATAAAAGAAAGATAAATAAATGCAAATCAAGACGCTCACAGTGGCTCATCGTAGACGCTGTTGTTAGATGCGCTTGAGAACTTGGACTTGAGCTGCGAGTTTTCGCTGGACAGCATCTGCACCACGTTCTTCAACTGATTGATCTCCGACTTGTAATCGCTGAGCTGTTTTCGCAGCGTTTCCATTTCGTTGTGCGAATTCGCATTGCGCGGAGGCGTGTGGACAATGGCCTAAGCAAAATAAATTATAAATATAAGAAAAACAAATCAATGAACTAAAAAAACTAAATATTTACAATCTATAAAATACAATCGCAAATCAACAAAAGGGAAAGCAGACAAATCACTGAATAATCATAACTACACATAGTTAAAATACCCTTTCACGAGTATCGGCTAGTTTTATTGAGGCTTACTGTCTACATTTGGATTTCTACCATTGGGAATCGACTAGATTGGCTAAAATCAGGGAGCTATAGTGCCCTGGCCTAGGGATGAACACAATGGGTACAGCACGGGTTGTCAAATTTTCAGTCTTCGCTTACGCTTCTAGCCGAAGCTATTGTTCAGCTTGAGAATTTTTTGGCGCATTAGGTTTACCTGCTGGGCCATTGGCGGCACGGGCGCATAATCATCATCGCTAGCCACCGGGTCGTAGATGGGCTCATCATCCGACAGGTTCGGATCGTGACCGCCCTGCTCGAACGAACCGAGCAGCATCGAATTGTTGGCATATGGCAGCGATTGCAGTGACTGATGCCCGGGCAGTGGCGCATCCAACGGACGCAGATTGGCCATGTTTTGCCGTCTCATGGCGTCGACAAGCACATCGGTCAAGAGACCAGTGAACTCGGCGCGATTGAAGCGTGCCAATTTCTGACGACCCTGTTGGCGAAACGATGTTAATGAATCAAGGTTTTAATCATCTGTAAAGCAAGGTCAAACCTGATTGCGCGTGGCGCTCAAAAATGGATTTGCCGGCAAAAATGGCACAGTTGCATGATCAGCATTCAAGGTGCTCGTCGACCAAACTGCAAATGAATAGTTTTACTTTTAGAAATATTGTCTTTCCATATTCCACTTACTGGCTTCGCACTCCCGTCGGTCCACCTCGTCGTACAGGTCCATGACCAGCTCCTCGAACATCTTATTTGGCACGAGTTGCAGCTTTCCACGGGCAATTTTCAGCTGCTCGCTTATGTCGGAGCCATTGGCATCCGGTATAATCATGTGGCGTCCACTCTGAAGGAAAAACCAATTAGTTGGTACACGATCAAGGAGTAGGAGGGGTATACGATTTAAAAACGAAAAGCTCATGGGTTCTTTTCAATTAAATAAGGAGTCCCAATAGATCAGTTTAAAAACAGATCAATCTACCGTGATTAAATAATCAGAAATCTTATTTACAAAATTTTAAAGGAACAGATTTACAGCTAAAAAGAATTTTCTTTAGATCGAATTTTAAAAAGCAAGGAAGTTTTTATTTTTATAATTTTTTCATCATTTTTATATTTTTAGCACACAAAAATCTATTTAAAAATTGTCGCTTGTTTTGTTTAGAAGAGCCAGAATTACTTAATAGAATTTTGAAGTGAGCAGAACTTGATGATTCAATTTTGCTTGCTTCTATGACCTAATCTGAGCGTAATGAGTCAATAAGCGGGTATTCAAATTGCATTTCATAGATTCGTAGATAAAATGGCTCAAAAAGGAATGAAAACGCAACATCCACTCTCGCAGAAATATGGTAATCTAAAAACTTACCGCATGATCTGGCTTTTTTCCGCCCAGGAATGTGATGATCCTGTCGGTAACATCGTACATGGCCTCTAGCAGCCGCTCGGCGATGGTGTTGTGGTTGTTGGCCCTGGCCAACTCAAGAGGAGTCATCCCATTGCCATCCAAAGCGTTAACATCTGCTCCATAGATCAGCAGCATCTCGATCTGCGACGCCTGGCCGAACTTGGCTGCCATATGAAGGGGCGTCGAGAGCTTGTCCTCATGATAGTAATTGGGGTCAGCTCCCTGAACCAAGAAGCGCAGCGAGGTCTCCAGATTGCTGGTCCTCACGCTGGCATGGAGTTGCCTGCTCAACTCCTGCTCCAGGCTGCCAACGGATCCATTACCATCGTCATCATCCTGGAGGCTTGGTTTCAGCACGAACGTTAAATTCACATGCTTGGCCTTGATGAAGTCGGATTTGGTGGGGTGCAGGGCATCCTTGGGCGAGGGCTTGCGCCAGCGGGGCAGGTGCTTTCCCCCGGTGGAGCCACTACTTCCATCAAGCAGATGGTGCTCCCAAACGCTGTTGGCTCCATGGGCATTCAGGGAGTTGACAAAGTTCAGGACCGAGGGTTCCCAGTTGCCCTGGCGAAGGGACTTCACGATGGAGATGTGCCTGCCCAGACTTCGATGCACGGAGCAGCAATCGGCGCAAAGGAGGATTCCCCTATTAATGCTCGCCCAGGATGGATCACCAGCGCCACAATCGCCGCAAACTTCGGTTTGCAATCGGGATTTCCCCCTTGGCATCTTGCTTTTGCTCGAAATCGTGGGCGTGGCTGGATAGGAGTGATCCGGATCCGGCGGCGCTATAAATAACTTCCTGTGCGCTTCGATTATGCTGCTGGCGAAACACATTCAGCATTCCATACGCTCACAAACTGCAGGGGAGAAACAAAAAATAGAATAGGGAAGTTGGAAAAACTGGGGGAAAACTGAAGTGGCTTCGTTCTGATTCACTGGCAGACTGCCGTCTCTGATTGGAAGTTCAGCCAGCTGGCGGTAAAAGGTCAAATATCAGCGACTGGCGCTCACCTCTAGCCATCAATTAGGAAAATTACTTTTAATTAAACGCTGTGAGCTGCACTAGAAAACATTTGCGGATGCTTTTTTACAAGAGTTTGTTTTATTTTTTCTGCACGCCAGTGTGGCCAAGTAGAGGTACTAACAAAGCGGCAGATTCAAACTGTTTGAATTGTAAATTTTATTAAGTGCTTTTAAAGGTTTCTTTACCAGTTTTTAGAAAAACACAATAAATGGTACCAAAAAGATTATATATTCTTTAAAGAATACTTCATTAATGTGTTTCTAATCACAAAAACACTTAAAGAACTGAACTCTTTAAAGGGCAGGCCCTGCATTACAAACTTGGTCCCACCAATTTTCGTCTTTCTGGCAGCTCTGCAAGCAATATATAGTCGTCTCCCTTGCACCTACTCAAGCAAAACATATGTTTATCAACAGATGAGACAGTTTGAGAGTCACTGCGGTTTTTGGAGCACATGGGGCAAAACAAAACAAATTGCCGACTTTTAATTCGATTTTGACTGTTTTTGAGGTGTTAAAAAATTGACAAATAAAAAAGCATGCAAGTGGAGAACCTGTACACTTCGGTAGCTTGCAATCGCTGCACGGAGTGCGCGGATTGGGGTCCAAATGGATGGATTGCCTATGGAGCTTGTAATGCCGTAGCCATAATGGATCCAAAGGTAACTAGAGTGATTTCTAAGTAAAATTTGATACATTTTTAACCATGTTTGGTCAACTTTAGTTCAACGGCAACTCGGCCAAGATCCTTTACACCCTGGTCGAGCACACAAAGCGAGTGAACACTGTAAAATGGTTGGATCAAGGGACACTTCTCTCCGGCGGAGATGATGGAAATGCGATTTTTTGGGAGTTGGGGAAAACTGGTGCAACCAAAAGCCTTCTGCTGAAAGGACATGCAAGTGGGGTCAACGCGGTGGATGGAGTGCGTCGGCAGGATGGCTCCTGGCTGCTGGCTACCGCTGCGGCAGATAGTACCATCAAACTGTGGACTTATCAACAAGGCAATTATGTATGCTTCCAAACCATACAATTGTCTGGAGGATTCTGCTTCTCCCTTCGCCTAAAGTTGCTGCCCACGAGCAATCATGTCCTTTTGGCCTTCAGTGGCGACGACGAGACTGTTTCCCTGTGGACAGAACAAATAGAAGCCACAGGTGGTGGCGATTCACTGGGGCTGCAGTTTCAGCGCGTCCATAAACTCATTGGCCACGAGGATTGGGTTCGAGGACTAGATTTCGTGGACGATGGAGAGGATCTTCTGCTAGCTAGCGGTTCGCAGGATAACTTCATTCGTCTCTGGAGGATTGCACCTCGTAGTGAGGATCAAATGCGCGAGAATCGCATTGATTTGCTCCAGCTAAGCGAGAACGACAGCGAGATCAAAGTGGAAGAGAAGATTCTGCAGCTGGGACAGCAGGCCTGGTATGCAGTAAGTTTGGAATCGGTTTTATATGGTCATGAGGGATGGATTTATGGGGTTCACTGGCACAAGACACCAGAGCAGGGTAAGATACTTTATTTTAGCTCATCGAAAACGCACTAAAACTGTTCCTTTCAGAGCTCCGCCTTCTATCTGCCTCCATTGATAAGACCCTCATAGTTTGGGCACCCACGGAACAAGGCGTGTGGTTAGAAGAAGTTCGCGTTGGCGAAGTGGGCGGAAACTCCATGGGCTTCTTTGGTGGAAAGTTTTCCGCCGATGGCCACTCGATCATGGCCCACAGCTACCAAGGTGGCTTTCACATTTGGAATCAGGATCTAGATCGCCCGCAACTCTGGACCTCCAATGTCATTGTGGGCGGTCACTATGGTGAGGTGAGGGACCTGGCTTGGGAGCACGAAGGCGCTTATTTGATGAGCGTCTCAGCGGATCAAACGACTCGACTGCACGCTCCTTGGCTGCAGGATGGCCATAATACCACTTGGCATGAGCTGGCGCGTCCGCAAGTGCATGGTTATGACATGCAGGCTTTGGCTTTGCTTTCGCGCTATAAATTCGCCAGTGGAGCTGAAGAAAAGATTGTGCGCACCTTTCAGGCGCCGGCGAACTTTATTGAAAACTTCCGTCACATTAGTGGGTTAAAAAAAGATGAGGCTGGAGACGTACTTCTGGATTGTAAGTCTAGGGTATTCATTACTTTAATGCATTTATTTTAACTTGCCATTTCATTTAGCTCTTCCCAAAGGCGCTTCCGTGCCTTCTCTGAGCTTGTCCAACAAAGCTGTCTACAAAGTAGAATCAGACGTAGAGGCGACCGGCAAAGGTAAAGATGATTATCCGGACAACTACTTTGTGCCCATTACTTTGGAAACGCCACCGCAGGAGGAGACATTAATGCAGAACACACTTTGGCCGGAGCTGCAGAAGCTTTATGGCCATGGTTACGAAATCTTTGCACTGGCTGCTACTGCAGATGGTTCCGTCTTGGCCTCCACCTGCAAAGCCAGCAATGCCGAGCATGCACAGATAATAATATGGTGGGTATTGATTTTTGTCAGGCGAAAAAAATATATTAAAGAGCAGATCCCTTTCGCCTGAAAGATTGCAATAACGTGCAACTTGTTCTTAAAGAAAAAATTACCATATATTAAAAAAAAAATCTAAAATGTTACTTTATTTTCAGGAACACTTCGAACTGGAAGCAGTTGCAAAAGCTGAGTGGCCACCAGTTGACAGTCACCCAACTGAGTTTCTCCCCCAATGCGCAATATTTGCTATCCGTCTCCCGGGATCGTCGCTGGTGTCTGTTCGAGAGGCAGAACTCAACCGCGGGCTACCAACTGGTGGCCAGCACCGACAAATCCAATGGAGTTCACACACGCATAATCTGGTCTTGTGATTGGTCGCCTGACGGCCAGTTCTTTGTCACCAGCTCAAGAGATGGAAAGGTAGTAGCTTGGAGAAAGAGTGAAGACGGCAACGAATCTTCTCTGAATGGCTGGCAGGCAGCTGAAGTATTGGATCTTAAAAATGAGTCTATCACAGCTGTGGCTTTTTCCCATCATAGCTGTGCGAACATTCTTGCCTTGGGAACGGAAACAGGGCTGATAAAGATATATAAATTGGCTCGTGGAGAATGGATATTACTCTGCGACTTGAGTAAGAGGTGAGTTAAGAAATATATTAATAATTTATTCTGGAACTTACATTTTGTAAACTTTTAGTCAAGCTCACCATCTCACTGTTCGGCGACTGCAGTTCCGACCAGGAAAAGATCTCCAGCTGGCGAGTTGCGGCGAGGATCATTTGGTACGCATCTACGACTTAAAGCTAATATAAGTTTGTCTACCTGCAAATTAAACTAGCCTTATTAACTTCCACCGCTGCGTTTAATTATAAATTTGAATCATCTGCAGACAGAAGGGGTATGGGTTCCGTCTCGCCTGATTTATCTCAATGACGCTATCTAATCTGCTGCAATTAGGTGTGTTTGGGGATGTCCCTTGGCATCTGTTTTACGTGCCCTGATAACATGTTATTGACACCTAATTAGCTGCAAAGTGTTGACATTGCAACCACTTCGATTCTGGTATTTAAGTAGATACCTTCAATAACTGGATCCACAGTCGGTTGAAAACAATTCGGGATGAAGGCAGCTATAATTTTGGCACTGATCGGCACAGTTTTGGCTGCTCCGCAGATCAAGTTGACGGCGAAGCCAGTTGACAAGTATAGTCATATATTTGCGGAGGTCCGACCTGAAGTCCAGAGGCCTCAGCATCACAACTACGTGGTTGAAATAGAGACGGAGAAGAAGCCCACGCAGAACGTGGAGTTCGAGATCGGCCAGCAACACCAAAGCTCTGCTCAGGGACACTTGGTTAATTTGGAAGCTAAACCAGTGGAGCAGAAGCATCAACAACACTTGGAGGTGGAAATCCAGCAGCAGCACCCGAACTCTTCTCCAAATCATCAGGTGGAATATGAAATCAGGCCTGTGGTGCAGAAGGTACCACAGCATTTGGAAGTTGAGATCAAGCAGCAGCACTCTTCTCCAAACCATCAGGTGGAATATGAAATCAAGCCGGTGGTGCAGAAGGTACCACAGCATTTGGAAGTTGAGATCAAGCAGCAGCAGGAGCATTCTGTGGAAGCAAAGCCCGAGGAGCAGAAGCATATCCAACATATCGAACTGGAAGTCTCTCAGGAGGATAAGCTCTTGTTCTCCAATCCCCAGAACCAACATTTCAACCTCAACCTGCGCCAATAGGGCGGCAGACCAAAAGATGTATCCGTATTACAAAGGGCATTAAATATGTATAATTACAAAGAGAGCGTTTTCACTGGCCGGTCCTCCCAAGGTGCTTGTAAAATGGGAAATAAATAAAAATGGTTAGCCCGTGGATGTGGATGAAGTGAGCACGAGGAGCCGCAGTTTGCAATTTCCGTTTAGCTGGTGCTGCATAGTTTTTGGGCCAAGACAGCAGCTATGGCCACGTGTCCGGGATCAGGAGTCGGGAATGGAATGGAGTGGCGCAGGGTGCTGAGTTATGGCCAGAGCGTGCCACCTTTTAAACCGCAGCTTGCAATTTCCGTGCTCCAACTGACTTTATGATTGCCATTGGCTTCTGGCTTCAGCTGCAGCACCATTGTTGTCCAAACTTAAGCGACAAAGAGGAGCAGAGTGGTGCTGGAAAGGCGGTTAATTGGATGGCGGCCATCTTTCGCTGGCACTTTAATTATGTTTTCGTGCAGTCCACAACTCTCTTCTATATAGTTTCTATATCTATATTTATATCTCCATCTTCGTTCCGGCGAATGTCGTTGAACCGTCGTTGCTAGATAAGCGCATAAATCTGTATTGTTCCGCTTGCCACAATGGGGCAGAAAGTTAACTATTGAATTGCATTTAGGCCACGTCGGAGGTCGATTGTCCCCGCACCTATTCACAGGCAGCCAATATCCCGTGGGGAAGTGTCACGAAGGCCTCATGGCTCGATGGATCCGGGGCTTCCTTCGACGCTTGTTCACACTGATGGAAAAACCGCGAAAAAATTCGCGATTCACAATTGCTTTTATTTTCGGGATTACACTTAAAAACATTTCAGATGCATCTTAGCTTGGCCTTAAATCTTTAATTTTTTTGTAATAAAAAATTATTTAGTTTGTTTCTATACTTTTTTGTTTATTATTGAACTTTCCGATATTAATTGAGTTCAAGAAATTTTTAATTCGGTGGAAACTCTTAAAATAATATAAACTAGACAAAACTTTAGATAACAAATTTATTACTGACAAAAAATTTATTACTGACTAATACTATCATTGAGTTTTTTAAAAGTTCAAAAAAGGGAAATAATTTTAATACTAGTTTTTTCGAATAGTTAAATTCTTCAATTTAAACTACAAAATAAAGTAGCAAACTACCAGAAAATTAAAAAGAGAATTAATATTTTTGAATGGCCGATGTAAGAAACCTTTTTCTACAGTGTAATGTGTTTCGAATGCGTTTTATTTTGAGTCAAATATTGGCAAACAAAGCGGCCATTGCAATGGCGCTACACGCGTTTCCGCTTCCGCTGAAAGTTGCACAAAAATTGATTCATTCATGCATTTGCGCCGAAACTTTTGTTCAACTTTCATTGTGCTGTGGCATGATTCCACTCTTTATTTATTTTCTTAGCCCCGCCATTTGTTATTGCTGCAACAATTTTGCATTCTGCGGAAAAAGTTTAAGTTTCAATTGCAGCGAACGTGCCCAAGAGTTGCTGACAGCCACTGGAGCGGAGGAAACTGAAGCCATTCTAGCCATAACATGTGTAAACATATTCGCATTCCCCCTCCTTCGGCACACCGCACCCCAAATCCAGAATCCAACATCCTATATCCAACATCGTACATCCTGCATCCTACTTCCTCCACGAAGTCCACAGACCCATTCGTTTGCATGTGTGTCAGTAGTGGATTTCGCTTGGGTTGCGCTTTCTGTTTGCCTGCCATAGTTTTTTGTTTGACTTGACGTCCAATCTTCCCTATACTGCAAAAAATGCTAGAAACATAGAAACGAAACACTTTCTAAGGAAAGCTGTTTTATATCCAAGACTGCACTTTGAGCATTAGTACGCATAAATACGTGACAGGTGTTTTAGGAGCTCCTTATTTCTTATTATTTCAGGTCATGGTCTATAGCTAATAGAAATATATGGAAAGCCAACGAACACCAATAAAATCAAAATCAAGAATTAATATTTTAGTTGAACTCAATGTTATTTGAACAATGCCTGACATCTAAATGACCCCAAACGACGTTCTTAGTTGGTTTAATATTTGCTTTGTTTTCGATTTTGATTTTGTTTTATTTTTTTGAGCAATGATGATTAAAAAATTAAAATTTATTTATTATTTAAACTGCAAATTTGTTTGTTTTCTTAAGAAAATGATGATCTTTATAAATAATAATATTGTTTTCTGTGACAAATTTAAAAAAAAATCAAAAAAATTGTCCGTTATTTCTCTTTGTTTTAATATGTTTAAAGTTTAATCCAACACCTATAAATTTGTTATTTGTTTAAAAATGTAAATTAATTTAAACAAAAACTCTGCAAATTTAAAAATATTAAAAAATAAACAAAAAAACTGCAGAATATCAATAAAATGGTATCCAGAAACATTTTAAGATGGATCAGAAATAAGAAGTTTATAACTCTCAGTGCACTTTGTCCAGGATGTGTTTATTGCATTTTTATTGTAGTAACTCGGCAGAGATCTGCGAACATCTTGATGGGTTGCTGATGCTTCCCTTATGCTGGTCATCGTCTCCCAAAACCCACAGAAATTAATTATTCCAGAGGGGTAGCGTATGCCGGCCATATCCATATTTTTGCCTCGCTTTTCGCTGTCACCATTGCGACCCCATTGGCGTCCACAAGTCCACATATGTATGTACATCCACATCCACATTTACACCCACGCATATGTTTCGTCCGTATTTCCGTTTTGACTGCGCCAACAACAATGGCGCGCGCTCCATGATTTGTGCATTTCCGTTTCTTTTTGGCAGCACGCACGCGACGTGCACGAACATGCATGCGGGGGCGAACCGGAAGCTGCCGAACTGAAGCCGAAACTGCGACAAAGCCAATTGATGCGCATTGAGCATTTGGCCTAGTTCGAAGTGGAGTGGACCTGCACCAATTTAAATCGTCAATTGATTAAGCCACGACGAGCACTGCTTTTTGGCGCATTTGCCGTCCTAACAAGCAAAACTTCGAATCGAAAACTTTCGGCCTGCTAAGCCCAAAAGCCCAAGCGTTCAAAGTTTTTCAATTACCTGACCACGCTGTGCTCCGGTTTCCAGGATCTCTGGATCCTGAAGCAAATTTCAGGTGCCCTTAGTTTGGTTTGGTTTGCTCGCCAATGAAAAGTAAAAGGGCAAGTTCAACAAGACAACACAGGAAAAACTGGTAAAAGTAGCGAGTCGAAAGTTCTGGCGCAACAAGAAAAAACGCTCAATGTTGTATATTTTGATTATAAATATTGTAATATAAACTTATACACTGGTTCATTTAGCCAGCTCAATTTAGTGGGCTAGTCCGTTTTCATTCGTCTACCAAGCCTTTGAAAGTTGGTAAACCTTAATTGTTTTCCAATTAGTTTTGCTGTAAAAAGTTTGAAGTTCATTTAGCTCCACCACCCACATGGCGTTTTTGCCCTCGCTTTATCTCCTGTTTTTTTGTTCGTGTCGGTCGCAGTCAACGTGGCGTATGATGAATTTTTAATTACGTGTGCTGCAAGCAAGCCAGACAGAAAAAGCGAGTCAACAAAAAAAAAATTGGTAACAACTGTTTGCCACTTGCAAATTGCAGCTACCCAAAAAAGTAATCAAAAAAAGTAGGGGGCATTTGAAGAACGCTAAAGCTAAAAACGAATCGTTTTCCCAACTTTTTTGGAGGTGCAACAAGAACCATCTCATATCTACATACATATTCACAGAGGCGTTGTGCTCAAAACGGCGAAAAACAACTCGGCATTTGGCCAAGATAATTACACAGGCGGATCAGAGCGTTTAGTGTTCTGCACTTGACAATGAAACTGAGCCCGAATTTGGCTCTTTCGCCTGACTTACGCCCTGATGTTTGGCACCCGCTTTAAGCCCCGTTTAAATGAAGCCATTATGCTCCTTCTTTTCGTGTTTGCTGAATGGGATTGAAAACAGTTTCGATTGTTTTAAGCGCGAATCGCTTTCGGCCATTTTCAACACTCCTGATTGCAGTTGTAAATTTGCAGAAAATAAATGGAAAAAATTGAAAGAGCAAACGATTTTGTGTACTGTCAACAGAGCAGCAGGACCATCATCACCTCTGACCATTTTCCACCTCATCATCATACCACTATCCACCGAAGCCACCGCACCACCGCAGGGAAATAGCCCGAATACAAGGACCACCGGGCATTTTTCCAGCATTTACGATTTCCCTTATTGCTGGCGCTTTCATTTTGGCCACGGACACTTTTTCTGTCCGCTGACAATTTCATGTTTTTTATCAATATGCCTGGTGCGCCAGCAATGCCATTCGGCGGGACATCTGTAATGCATTGCTGCAATAACTTTTATTTCGCCCTGGAATTGTACAATTTGCAGGCTGCACTGATGCATTTTGACGGGACAGGCCCCGATATTTTCAAGGATCCGTTCTAAGGAAATTATGCACCAAAACACTCCTATCCCACTATAATTACAAAGATCAAATTCTGTAGGAAAACTACTTTTGCAGCATTTCACAAATTGATTATTTTATGGTTAAGAGTTAGTTGAAGTAACATAGTTGAAAAAATGTTAATTTTAATTCACGAAAGGTATACATTTATTTTTTAATTTCAATGACTACTACAGTTTTTTGACATTAAATACAATTTTTTTAAAACTTAATTTTCTTTAAAAAGTTTTTATAATAGTATTTCAATATATTTTGGCATGTTTTGGATTAAGTTTTAAATTTTAGAAGAAATAATTTAATGTATATGAATATATTAAAAAAAAGGTACTTTTAACCAATCACGTTAAAAAATTTGCACTTATACTATCTTTTACTTTTTGTGTTTTTTAAAATTTTTACCAACCCAACTATTTTATATGAATATTTATTTTTGTAAAGTGGTAATGGCTTACCTTAAAGACAATTGATAAATATTCAGTATCTTTAAAATAATCCATTGCCCATTTAAAAAAATTAAAAATTATTTAAAAGCAATTTGTAATAAATACATACAGTATAATAAATTCGTGGGGCACACGGCTTATGGGTTTTAAAGTAAGTTGGGAACTCCATG